TGTTGTTTGGCGGGTCTGGGCTGGGGATTCGAACCCGCCACCTTAGGTGTACGTGGCTGGCGCCTTAGCCGGTTGAGCTATAGGCGCTGAGCCGGTTGACTCTTTTCTTCTGAGAAACTTGCCCTCAATGGAGGTCTTCCTTACCCTAGAGTTATTCAAAACTGTCCAGTGAAACTTCAGGTTCAAATATTATGATTCTGTGGTAAATCTACCCTTTGGATGAAAACAGTGCCAGCATCAAAGAATTATCTCAGTTTGGGTAAGAAATGGCTTGCCTTTTCCTACATTGGGTGGACACAAATGGAATAAGAAAATTGGAGGGAGGGGCATAGAGGAGTTCACTTCACTTGTATATAATGTCTCCTGTGCTCTTCCCACCTCTGGCCCCCATTCTGGGAGTCCTCAAAGATAGGAGGTGAAAGGTGAAAAGCAAGAGGAGGAAGTGGAGCTCTGGAGGGTGGGATGAGAGGGCTAAGGGTGAGTTGGAGGCACGGGGCTCTGCCTCTTTGTTTCACTTCCTGGTCCTGCAGGAGTTGGGTAGGAAGCAGCGTTGGTGGGGAGACTGTGGGACTGTTGTGTGGCAGGAACTACTTCCAGGGCTACATCTGATCTGGAGCTGCAAGAAGCCCTTGACGTCAGCTGGGGTTCAACCGTTATGCAAATCACATTCACAAGACACTCCTAGGCAGGCCTTTCCAGTTGGATGCCCAGACTCCCAATCCAGTTGAAGTTCCCCCAGGTGGCTAATAATGATCCTGATATTTATCCAACTCTCGCTTTATGCCAAGTACTTTGTCTAGCACTTTACGTGTAATAAACCATTTAATTCTCACAACAAACCTGTAAGATAGGTACTATTACTATCCCCACATTACAAATGAGACTGAGGTACAGACATAAGTGATGAGTGATCTTTAACCAAGATCACAGAGCTACTAAGTGGCTGAAATTCTAAGGTAGAAAATCTGGCTCCAGCCAGGTGCAGTGGCTCACACTTGTAATCCCAGCACTCTAGGAGGCTGAAGCAGGTGGATTGCCTGAGCGAGAGCAAAAAGCTGTTTCTAAAAAATAGCCAGGTGTTGTGGCGGGTGCTTAAAATCCCAGCTACTCAGGAGGCTACAGCAAGAAAACTGCTTGAGCCCAAGAGTTAAGAGGTTGCTGTGAGCTATGACACCAGAGCACTCTACCAAATGCAACAAAGTGAGACTCTGTCTCAAGAAAAAAGAAAATCTGGCTCCAGATCTTGCATTTTTTCTTTTATTACACAGAGTCTCATTCTGTTGCTCTGAGTAGAGTGCTGTGGCATCATAGCTGACAGCAACCTTAAACTCTTAGGCTTGGCTCGGC